ATTGATGTCTACACACGTTCACATCTTTTCAGAGATTGAACTAATCAAAGCATCAAATACTTCTGCATGGTAGACTACTGTAGTTATTAATTTCCCCAAACAAGTATCCCATTGATCCCATTATCTTCCACAACTGCTACAGTGCGGCAAAAGAGCATTCTCCAAGTGTCAATTCATGATGGTCAGCCAATTTGCGAGAGACTCAGTCATTCACATAATCTGTTACGATCTAGCATTGCCTTGACACTTAAAACAAAAGGGACTGATGTTACTTTAATGTATGTAGATAGTGTAAATAAATTAATGTTATCACAGACATCAATTTTTTTCTGAACCTAAAAATGTTTTGCCATCTAAAATTGTTATGCACTGCTAATGATCATATATCTCACTAGCATATATTGTTATAAAAATGGTGCCAAATGTGGTCTCCACCAAGTAGGTTCAGGAAGACAAGATCCAGAACAGTCTAAAGGCATGAATCAATGTCAGGTGGTAGACCTCCCACTCAAAGGGTCGATTTAATTGCAAAGAGGCACAAGATTTGACACTGGACTGGCCATTGCTCAAGCACTGATTTCTTGTTAGCTCCTGTAAGAAAGAGTTTAACGTAGATCAGTCGAAGTTAGTAGTTTTATATTCATTTACATCATATTGTACTCATTCTAAATAATGTACAGATTAACAACCGATATCTTCTATGCAAGTCTTTCTGCTCTCATATTGGCATCCTCAGTGATATGTAGGTACTTGTGATGTAACACAAAGTAGCATAGTCATCCTGGTTTAGCACACTTACCTTCAGTACAATTCCAGAAAATACAACTCGCAACTAATGCCGCAGGAATCTTTTACACCAACTTTTATGAGAAAGTCTCAAATGCCTTTTGACACACTAGGGGAAAACAGTCTACTCATCCATCTGTTTCCCCTTCCCCCCCCCCTACCCATATGATTTTGCTAATCCTATTACTATAGAACTAAGCTTGTCAGGCATGATTTTCTGTCAATCTATGCAGCCCTTTCGTTACAAAAGTTGGTCCTCTCCAAGTGCTCGACCATTCTCAGCCTCATTACTTTCTCCAGAACTTTACATTGATATTTCTCAGTGACTCTGGTCTAATTTACTTGCTCCTCTTTCTTTTTGGTGTTACTGCATTTGCCTCCCCTCCCCCCCCCCCAAGAGAGTTCTGGGAGAGTGACTGTCTAGCGATTTAACATTTTAGATAGCAGGGGACTATTTATGCAGCCTCCTACAGACCAGTAGATTAAGAATTGGGGGCCTGACAGCTAAGTGGACAGCGCTTTGGATTCGTAGTCCTGAAGTTCAGGTTCAATCCCCGGTGGAGGCGGAAACAAATGGGCAGTTTTTTTTTACCCTCATGCCCCTGTTCGCCTAGCAGTAAATAGGTTCCTGGGAGTTAGACAGCTGCTACGAGGGATGCTTCCTGGGGTGGGGGGGGGGGGTGTGACAAAAAGGAGGCCTGGTCGAGGAGCAGGCTGCAGGGACGCTAAGCCCTGAAATCATCAAGATAGCCATAGCGAGATTAGGCCCTAGGATTAGGCATTAGGATTACATCTCATTCCTCCAGTAGGTATGTATGTACAGTATGTAAAAAAAAATGTTTAACCTCTTGTACAGTACAAACAATATGTGTAGTCAATGTCTTTCATTTTGCCTCCTTGGTCTCTATGTTGATTCTATTTTAAAGAAGACTCGAAATCTTTTAGTTCCTCACATACCTCCTTATCATTTTCTTTGAGAAGTATTCATTACTTTTACCACTAATAGATAAAAAAAAATTCAATTTCCATTCCTTCCTACCGCAGTACAGTATGTACAAGAGGGACTTGTGTGCAGTTTGGTTAAGTATGCAGATTGAGAGCATCTCATGTGCAGTCTGTGCAGGTGGTTAAAGTGTAATTTTGTTTATAATGATACACATCATTAATCAAATACAGTAATTAAAGAATATGTGGCCTGGTTAGTTTAATGGCAACCAATGATGGTGACTAATTTTTAACCCTTTCTATGGATAGCCTTGTATTCATTGAGCAACAGAGGCAACATTAAAAGAAAAGTTGGGGATGGTTGGGAGGTTACTTAAGAATCCAGTCAAATCAGTACAGTAAAATAAATAATGTGAACAAATTCTTTTAAAGAACATAGGGATATTTTAGCACATGTTTACCAAACTACACATCAGAAGATGGAGAAACGAGGTTGTTTTGGTTTGTCCTGGACTATTATCAAGTCTTTGCGAGGAAGAGCGGATGGATGAAGATTGATGAAGATTAAGCCACCCAAGAGGTGGCACGGGCAGGAATAGCCCGTAAGTGGTGGCCCTTTTTTGAGCCATTATCAGTATCAAAAGATGATACTGGAGATCTGTGGAGGTGCGACTGCACCCTGCGTGACGGGAGATGTCTCCCGGACCAACTGGTGGAGGAAGAGCGGATGGAATGGGTAAATAAATAAGGAAAAAGCGAGGTCAGGAGCAGGTACGAGTAAGGTGGGACATAAGAACAGGATGAAAGGTACAATGGGGATGAAAGAAGAATGGGATGAAGTAAAAATAAGAGAAAGGTAAGAAAGAAAAGTGGGGTCAAGAAAAAAGGGGTAGGCTCAAGGTTAGAGCATTTAAGTATGTACTGTGAAACTGAAGAGTCGACAGCAACAATGCCAGGATGAAGGGTCATGTTGGGTATGTTGTGTATCAAGGGCCGATTCGACAAGATGGCGTTTTGTTACGACCCTGGGTTCTCCAGTGGAAACCAGAGGTCAAAATTGAGCTATTAAACTTCCTAGTACAGAATGGCAATTGTTTGTATCTTCCCTGCCAGACGTAAGACTATTATTGTTTCTCAAAGAGCATTTAAAGACTGAGCTGGGGGTTGATTATTAAATAATAACATAGGCACCAACTTTGCTTACTAATACTTTCTAATCACTCATAAAGTAACAATACGTTGCATAGGGGAAGATCTTTAATGTGCTTAGCTGCACGATCAATTAGGCTCCTTCCGGCACCACGACATGAGGGAGGCCAGGTGGTCGCGAGGAGCTCGCTCTTTTCTCTGGCTGGTGTGTGCGGATAAGACCTACTCTGTGGCTGTATCCCTACTCTTCTCCCTTCTCCTCTTACTTATTTCCCTTACCTGAAGTTCCTGTATCCTTAAGCTTAGTACGGGGCATCAGTAAGTGTACCTACTCTGGTAGTAACTATTGGTGAGACCTGGGGTTAGTATTTGCCAGTGTTTTGTTTACCCTAAGTGTTGTGTTTTGTATTAGGGTACCACATGGTCTCACTACCCTAAGCTGCATCCAGCTTCAGTGCTTATCCAGTAGTACTTTACCCTAGCTTGTTATTAGTGTAAACCTTGTATCCTGCCTATGTGGACCAAGGCTTTTAACGTAAGATAGTGTGGTAAAGTTATTATTGTTATTGGTGTGAGTGTATATGGGGGGTTGTTAAGGGGTTAATAAATAAGTACATGAATTACAGAGTATCTCTTCTTCCAAGGTGGGAGCGCAGTGATCAACCCTTAGACTAACATATATGGTCTTGTAGCAAGTTATTACTACTGTGGATAGTTTATTTTGGGGGCCGGGCCTTTTAGCTCTCCCATATTTGATACTCTTGTCTTCTAACTACCTAGACCCCTTAATAGTACCAGTACCCCATAGAAGCCCCACTCATATCAGTTGTAACACGTCTGAAGAGAAGAGGCAGGAACGAATAGTGAAGATGATCAATTTATAGAATGATTAAAGTCCCTAACATGATAGAAGAGAGCATTGTTTGTGCCTGCAGACTTAACGCTTCCTTTCTGTTCCTCTAGACTGTCATTTAGTGTATAACCATTTCAAAGTATTGGAGAGGACAAGATAAACAGAAAATAAAGAAGACACCATCAGCATTTGAAGCAGGAGCAGTAGTGTGAACCAGATTACAATGAAGCGTTAATTTGTCGAAAAGCAAGCTTTACATCAAGAGGATGAAGAGTATTAGCGAGATTTTTGAGTTCAGATATGAAGGGAAGGCAGCACAGTGATACTAGTGTTGGAAACGGGTTTGGGATGAAAAATTATTTTTAGCTTGAGAATGGGCACAGTTGATAAGCTAACAGTTTATATGTTGTTTATATAAAATGATATGTAGCATTCCACTATCCTTAATTTCAGCTTGGCATGGACAAATCTATTGCAGGTCATCTCCATAGGCTGGATCTAGCTTAGTAAATCCAAGTTACTTTGGGTAATTGAACACCGAGATCATTAAGCTTGTGGGTACATACAATACTACCAATACAAGCTCTCCCCCATTAAAAGTCGTCAAACAAGATTACATTGGTGATTTAAGGCTGGGTTTGGCAAACTACAGTACTGTATTATATAGTTACTACTATAGACCCATGGAGGCTTAATTCATTTGTTACACAGGTACAAGATAATAAATGTAATATCAGCATTTGTTATATTGATGCTTTATGTAATTAAATATACTGTACAGTGATTTACTGTATATCCTTTCATATCTTTCACTCCAGTACACCTGGTGCATACCTGGAGAGGGTTTCTGGTGTTCTACTCCCCGAGCCTGGCCCCTATTCGTGATAAAATGGTCCAACAGGCTATTGCTTGGAGAGGCCCACAGGCTATTACAGAGATATACTGTACTATTATTAATTTTTCATAATTTAAATATTTTCCTCTGAAAAACTGCACAATATTCCCTTTGGCACATTACTTTACTGACGTAATTTACAATATACGCCAAAAATAGTAAATAATCCATCAGCACTGCAAAGTTTTAAAATAAATGATAAAATATAATGCTGCTATAAAACAGGTTTTTCATATTTTTTCCAGTAGACTACAATACACTTTTTTTTATTTAAGCGGTCAGTGGACTATCAAACGTTTCAGGAAACCGTTGATAAATTTCCAGACAGGAGGCGAGCTTCAGAAATGTTTTGGAATGTTAAAGCTGCAGGTATGCAAGAAGGAAGTTTATTAATAATGTTATGGCCATGGGGTCTCATTGAGCACATCCTGTATGTATCCCTTGACCTGAGTCTCGAGGATATTAGCTATGTTCTCGTGTACCAGGTTGGCCACCGCCTCGGTGAGAGGACCTAGGACGTAGTCCAGTATACCCAAGCCTTCAATTTTCACATCAATCTCCCTGCAATACAAATAAAGTTGGTGAAACAATGAGGGATTGAAAATACAGTACAGTATTGTAAAAGTCTTAATGGAGTGGAAAACGGGAAATTTAAATAGGACCAGAATATATTTTGGGTAACAATAGGGATGTCAAGGGTAGGCCTTATCATAGGAGTGCTTTTATAAAACACAGGGAATAAAATAATCCGCTAATTTGAAAACAATGAAATGCAGGTTATATATATGTTGATTCCAAACCTGGACCCTCTTCAGCAGTTAGTGTTGTTGTTAAAGATTCGCTACTTGGAACAAAATGTTCCAAGTAGCACGGGCTATGGTGAGCAGTGAGTGAGAATGACAGCTGTAGTTTTATGATATCAAATCAGGGGTCATGGGAAGAGATGCAAGCTTTAAATAATTTTCTTATTATATAACCACTCACCACATCTGGTAACTACTGCCCTCAGGAGATATTAAAATTTGGATCGTTTAGATTGATTGATGAAGATTAAGCCACCTAAAAGGTTGCACGGACATGAATAGCCCGTAAGTGGTGGCCCTTTTGAGCCATTACCAGTATCAAGAGCTGATACTGGAGATCTGTGGAGGCGCGACTGCACCCTGCGTGACGGGAGATGTCTCCCGGACCAAGTGGTGATCAGATGGTGGATCGTTTAGAAAAGTAGCTTACCTATATACTGTACCTCTTTCTTAATGAAGCCACAGTGTTGGGGATAAATTATACTGTATATGAATTATCTTTTATAATTTTGTGATCAGTCTCGCATGTTTATATACGGCTGAGCTTTGCTACAGCTAACAGCGCTCTGTGTCTGGTAATACGGGTTTTAAACCCCCATCCTGTTTGGACATAATAAACTATTACAATTACAAGGAATTTTGAAGCTGAGGGTGTTGATATTTTTTTTTAGATTTGCAATATGGGTAGTCTGTTTCCAGTGTTATCTAACCCGTATATCATTATATGACTTGTCATCGACACTTCCGTGAAAATAAACATTCCATTTCCCTGGGTTCTAGGAGACTGGAACTATGGATCCCATGCAGGCGAGGAGTCACAATAACGTGGCTAAAGTATGTTGACCAGACCACACACTAGAAGATGAAGGGACGACGACGTTTCGGTCCGTCCTGCACCAGTCTCCGTGGTGTAGTGGTAAGACACTCGCCTGGCGTTCCGCGAGCGCTTTGTCATGGGTTCGTATCCTGGCCGGGGAGGATTTACTGGGCGCAATTCCTTAACTGTAGCCTCTGTTTAACGCAACAGTAAAATGTGTACTTGGATGAAAAAACGATTCTTCGCGGCAGGGGATCGTATTCCAGGGACCGTAGGATTAAGGACTTGCCCGAAACGCTACGCGTACTAGTGGCTGTACAAAAATGTAACAACTCTTGTATATATCTCAAAAAAAAAAAAAAAAAAAAAACTCAAATCGATCATTCTCACAATCTACTTGAGAATGGTCCAGGACGGACCGAAACGTCGTCGTCCCTTCACCTTCTAGTGTGTGGTCTGGTCAACATATGGATCCCATGCGTGCAAGGCCGAAGCTTTATCAACCGAGCTATTGACTAGTTTTAAAATTTTAGTTTGGCAGCATCCTATTGCCAAACTAGAATTTTCGACCTTGACTACTAATGAAGTTCAGAGGAATTATGACTACTCAATAGCTTGGTCGATAGAGCTTCGACCTCACATGCGTGGGGTCCATTGTTCGAGTCTCCTACAGCCCAGATGAACGGAATGTATTTCCATGGAAATGTGGATGAGAATTTATATGACGTGGGTGTGGATCACTAATTCCTCCAAGCTTCAGTAGTAGTCAGGGGAAAGTCGAAAATTCAAGCTTGACAGCAGGCTGCTACTTCTGGAAACTTTCTTTTATTAAGACTACTCAATAGCTCGGTCGTTAGAGCTTTGGCCTCCCACCCATGGGGTCCACGGTTCGAGTTTCCTAGAGCCCCGGTGAATGTAATCATTATATGGAATACTGTCAGTGTAGCCTCTCGTTTAGGATACACGAAAGGATACACGTGTAGACGTGTAGGTGTAGACGTGTATCCTCTCTCAGATCAAACGTAAAGACATTATTTGGTACAGATATGTTGATGACATTTACATGTTGGAAGGATAGCTGGAGACATTTCTCTTGGTTCTTTGAGAGACTGAACGCTCTAGTCCCCAGTATCAAATTTAAAGTTGGATGATTAATTACCCTTTCTGGACATCTGTGTAATAAGGGCTAACACCTCCCTGGGCTTCACTATTTACAGGAAATAGGTACAGTAGTTATCTTTATTACTTCAACAGTCGTGTGAAGAAATTAAAAAGTAGTCCCCGTGGCGATGTGGTAACATTTTCCTGGCGTTTTGCGAGAAAAATTAGGATCTAATTTTATAAACAATCCAAATTTTAATATCTCCTCAGGGCAGTTACTATTTAGTGAGCGAATAGTAGTAGTAGTAGTTATAGATTCAGCTACTGGAATCAAAAGTTCCAAGTAGCACGGGCTATGGTGAGCCCGTAGTGGACTTACCTGGCACAGGAGCGGGGCTGTAACTTGTGAGCGAATGTGTGATGTTATTAATACCCAGTACTTACACCTCTCCCCAGGATAACAGACTTTATGCCACAAAAGCAGCTTCAGCTGTCATTCTCGCCTTAACGTGCGGATGCTGACACTGAAGAAGCTATCCACACTTGTCCCATCTCCCGTAAAGGTATTCCTTATTCCGACTTTTACCCAGTTATGCATTCCTCCATCCTTGCCCGTTGGCAGGGTTGTTGGTCTTCGGTAATTATCAAAAGGCACAAAACCGGGAAGGCTATGTAGCACCAAAGTGCAAAATAATCAGAGGGCGCTAAATATCACCAAGAATGCCAATACGAGAATAAAAACGCATAAGGCGAATGATATCAAAAGTATCCGATTCACCTAGAATTCTAACGAGGGACAAGTGACCGCGAGGGACGGTCGGAAAGCAAGACACACGCTCGTCCTGGAAGTCAGGATATTCAACAAGGATATGCACAACTAAGAGGGACAACGCAATTTGGACAATAAGGAGCAGGGCGGCGCTTCATTGAGTGACTGTGGGTTAAGCGGGTATGAACAACCCGCAGCCGTGCCAAAGCAGTTTCCCACCGCCGGTTACGGTGGCAGGAGGAAGGCCACGGGGACACACTAAGTTTGAGAGTACGCAGCTTGTGACTAACCACAGAGGACCAACAACCCTGCCAACGGGCAAGGATGGAGGAATGAATAACAGGATAAAAGTCGGAATAAGGAATACCTTTACGGAAGATGGGACAAGAACGGATAGCTTCCTTAGCGGCAGCATCCGCACGCTCATTGAAAGAAACACCAATATGGCCGGGAACCCAGCAAAACTCTACCGATTTAAATTTACTAGAAATAAGAAACAGCCAATGTTGAATCTCGACGACCACCGGATGGACAGGATTAAAGAACCCTAGAACCATGAGGGCACTACGAGAGTCGACTACTACCACAAAGGAGGAATGAGAATGAGAAAGCAAGAGACAGTATAGATAATAGCAAAGTTCTGCTGTAAAGACGCTAGCCTCCGAAGAGAGGCGACACACAAGTACGGTCAGGAAAAACAACAGAGTAGCCCACACCGTCCGCAGACTTAGACCCATCGGTGAAGATGGAAATAGAGTGGGAGTGCGAGGAAAAGTGCTCAAGGAAGAGGCTTTTCAGAATCGTAGGAGGAGTAAAGGCTTTAGTAATACAAGTCAAGGATGTACAAAACTTGGGAAGGGGGGATTCTCCACGGAGGCAAGGAAGGAACAATATGAGGAGAAACATTAGAAATATGAACAGAAAGAGAATCCTGTAAGCGAGAAAACTGGACAGAAAGTGGGAGACGAAGAGGAACAGGAGCTACAGGAGGAGGAAAAGTCAAAGCACGACAGAGGCGAGAGGAAGGATCCACTGGGTGTGGGACGAGCGTGTTACAACTGCCACAGATTATGAATCGAAATGAAACAAAAATATATATATGAAAATTAAAAATTGAAAATAAATTTTGGAATTTTTTTTTCTCCAGAACAGCAAGTTCAGGGTCCTCTGGTAAGTTAGGACAGGAAGTTCTCCTAAGGTTTCAAAACGTCATGAAAACCATTAATTAAAAGCTTCCTCTCTTAACCTAACAGCCTAAGCCCCCCCCCTCACCTCCCCTCAATATAAAAAAACCCTAAGCCAGAGGACCAAAGGCAAACAGGACAAGCCACTCCATGACGACCCATCGCCCTTTAATCTCTCCAGCTTCTCCAGCTCCTCAGACTAGATCTACACTTCCAATCTTCAAGGTGCAGCACACGGAAGGTAAGTCTTCCTACGCCACTGTATTGGACCTCGAAAAAGAGTACCCCCAGCTCCAGATCAGAGCAAAACCTAATCTCAGAGGAGAATACATTCTGAGGCCTAAAGACGAGTCGGCCGCTACGATTCTGAAAAATTACACAAAATGTGAGGAACTGAAACCAGAGGATAAAATAAGGAAAATCATTGTCCTCCACTATCCCTTGCATATGGCACTTGACCATCTCGAAAAGCTGAACTATGTGGTGTCAGCAGAGAGATGCCAAGCAAGAACCACAAAACGGGAAACCCGACAAGTCGTCCTCACAGTAAGAGGACGGATCCCGGAGAAACTTGACCTTGGAATCTGGGGCGTGTTCCAACACAGGCCTTACACCCCAGAGCCCCTAAGATGCTTCAGATGTCAGAGATTTGGGCATCACAAAGATGGCTGCCAACGCCCAGTGAGGTGCGGAGTCTGCAGCCAGCCCCATGACACAAAAACATGTATTGATAAACTCAAGGCAAACCACCCTGTTCAGGCAAAGTGCCCAAATTGCTCCAAGACACATCATGCCTGGAACTTTAAATGCCCTGAAAGGCTCAAAAGGCTTCAAACTAACCCCACCACGCCAACAGCGGAGCCGAAACGCCCACCAAAACTAATACCAGCTCCCATACCCACTAAAACCGCGTGGGGTCTACCTATTCAGGAAGAGGGGGTACACGGCCCTTCACCATCGGCCATGGTGAAGGGTGAGAAGACCTCTGTACAGGACAAAAAGAAAGATGGAGGACACAAGAATCATGTTCAAAGCAGTCGGCCTCCCATTTCATCCAGCAAGCACACTGGGGCCAATAGGAGTAGCAATTCCAGTGTCAAAGTTACCACCGAGAAGGGTCTAAAAGCTACTAGGCCCCAAACGTGCACAGCATTAAATAGTGCTCCCACAGAACTGGACGCTCTCTGGCCAATGCTCAAAACTTTGGTCACCGAGTTGATCGAAAGTCTGCTGTCATCACATGGAATCAAGCAAACCACAGACTCGGAAGACAATTGAGCACAAGCTCAAGAAATTCGAAGATGCAATATCCACACCGTCAAGACAGCAGGGCAGGAGACACCCCCATAAAAAAACAGATAAAGTCCAGCTCGTCGGATAGCGACATTGATGAGTCAATTTCAGGTCCACTAAGAACCTATCCACCAATTGCAACTTCCATGGCGTGTTCATCACTCCATGGATACCACGGAATTATCAGCAAATTCCAAGAACCTAGAGGTCTAAAGATCCTGCAATGGAATGCGCAAGGACTGCGCACTAAATTGCAACACTTGCAATGCATAGCAGCAACCAAGGGCATAGACATCCTGATACTACAGGAGAGCTTGCTTCGAGCCGGATTAGAACCTAAAATCTCAGGCTATCGAGGCTTCTTCCTTCCGTGGATCAATGGGCAATCCAGGGGATGTGCAATCTATGTAAAATGTGACCTGGTCTCCAAGTCCATAACCAGCCCACCCAATTGTGGAGCAGGGACAGAGGTAACGGGAGTAACCATTGAGCTAAGACACGACAAACTTGAAGTGTTTAATATGTACAGGTCTCTACATGCAGAAATGGATCTCTTATTTGGACATGCGACAACAACAAACACAATCATTTGTGGAGATTTTAATGCCCATCATCGATTGGCACTGGGCTCGAACACAACAAATGAAGCCGGCATTCACATTACACATCTACTAGACCAGCTTCCAGAAATACAAATCCTAAACAAGAATGAACCTACCCACATCCAAGGAGGCAGATTAGACCTAACCTTCGTTTCAGCCTCCCTAAGAGATGCAGCAACATGGTCAGTTGAGCCCACACTCACAAGCGACCACTATGGGGTCCAAATTGATCTTCAGTTAGACCTACCAACCCCACCTCCGCCTCCATCTGAAGCCTGGAACTTTGCTTTAGCAAACTGGGACCGATTTCAAAACCTCATTTCAGAGTGGCATAGAAACTATGATGTTCCTAAAAACATTAATCAGGCAGAACAAGATTTTGTCAAAGCGATTCAAAGTGCAGCCAACCACTCAATCCCACCGAAAAAACAGTCCACCGGACACCATAAAGATCATTGGTACTATTGCGAACGTGTCAAAGAACTCAACCATAGACTCAACAGAACAAGAAAGCTATACAAAAAGCAGCCAAGTGACCGCAACAGGATCTTACTTTGTGAGGTCAAGGAACATGTGCATCGAGAGACCAGACAAATAAAAGAACAAAAGTGCCTGGAATGGTGTTCACACCTGAATGAACACACCTCTCTCGGAGAGATGTGGCAGCAAATTCACCGAACCAAAGGGAATAAAACACCTAAAGCTCCACACCCCAAGGATCCTCAACAGGAAGCCGAAGTACTGGCAACCAGGTTTGCAGAGAGAGCAGCCAGCAATCAACTTCCACCAGATGTATTAGCAGTACAGACCGGACTAGAGGAAGAAAGGTGGCACAGAATCCTTACAGCATGTGAAGAAGTCTCTGACACTAATGCCCCCTTCACACTGGATGAGCTCAATCGGGTTAAGAAAAACTCCAAGGATACATGAGACCCCTGGAGCCGACAAAATAACCTATAAAATGATTAGAAACCTCGGCCCAGAGGCTGCATACCTAAGGTTAATTAATTTAGCCTGGACTTCTCAAACTAGACCTTCTGCTTGGAATAGAGCAGACAGTGCCCATCCCAAAATCCAAAGATCCAGCTAATCCCAGGCCCATCTCTCTCCAAAGCTGTGCAGCCAAGACGGCTGACAGAATGGCACTCAACAGACTGGAGTGGAAAACGACTAAACTGCACCATGATATGTATACCTATAGAAGAGGGGTTGGCACAGTGGAATGTATTACAACTCTGTTAGCCCACTTGAATGACAGACCAGGAATGCTGATATTCCTGGACCTCGAAAAAGCCTTTGAACTGGCTAGCGCCCCAGCTATTCTCTGCTGCCTCATTGACAAAGAGGTCAGAGGCAACCTGCTCTCCTGGACCAAAAACTGTCTCATAAACAGAGACGCAAGAGTAAAACTTCATGGCACAGTCTCTGAGTACAAAAGACATGAAAATGGTACACCGCAAGGAGGTATTCTCAGCCCTCTTTTCAACTGTTTAATGGAAAGAATAATGAGGTTGAAACTTCCACATCACTGCAGGCTGCTAAACTACGCGGACGACTTTGTCATCATCATAAAAGGAAGGGATGCGGCGCGCCTTGCACCCAAATGCTTAGACTGCATCAGTAAAGAGGCAAAACAGATTGGGATCAAACTCAACCCCTCAAAGTCAAAGGCCATGCCCATAAAAATAGCGAAGCCCAACATCCAACTCACAGTACAGGGTTAACCAATTGAATAGGTCGACACCTATCAGTATCTAGGAATCATCCTGGACACATGAATTTTAATGCTGAGGTCACTTACTTGAGAGAGCGAACTGCGGCCCGGACGGCAATCCTCAGGTCGCTAACCTCCCTTTCTGGAGGAGCCAATCTGCAAGTCCTTCGCACATACTATATACAGGCAGTCAGATCAGTGATCGATTATGCCGCACTTGCACTCACAAATCTATCACACCAACAGTGGAAAAAGCTTCAAGTTGCCCAAAACAGTGCTATGAGAGCCGCACTGGGAGCCCCCATGTGGACCAGGCTTGAAACTCTTAGACTGGAGACGGGTTTGCCCTCTACGAGAAAGAATATCACAAAGGACAGCTACAATTATCAGCAAGATAATTATTTCTTCCGATCCAATCCCAGTACGGCAGGCCTTGGTGGTTGGACTAGGCCAAAACAATGGAAACTCTTGGGCTGCAAGAGCAGGAAAAGTCGTAAACAGACTACATTTAAAAAGCATGATTCTTGATAGAGAGGGTGATCAACCACACCCAAATTACACTCCTTCCGTGCCGTGGGAAGAGCCTACTTTCAAAATAGTAATAGAAAGTCTCCCAATGAAAAAGGCTGTCTATGATCCGACAATCCTAAGGCGCATAATAGAAGAGCAAATGTATAGCATAGCAGTAGCAGGAGCCACCCACATCTTCACAGACGGATCGGTGGACACAGAATATGAGAGTGCTGGCGCTGCTCTTTGCACGACCAGCGTACAGGCATATTGGAGACTGGGAGGACTAGTATCATCAACCCAAACTGAGCTGTTTGCCATACAACAGGCATTCACATATGTGATTGCACAAAACACTCAAAATGCAATCATACACACAGACTCAAAAGCTGCACTTCAAATACTAGGACAAAAACAGTGGAAAGATAATGTGGAAATAATTACCACCATTTTGTATCAAGGAGCAGTAGCTAAAGGCAAAGGACTCAACATAACTTTAAACTGGATCCCATCCCATATTGGAATCCCATTAAATGAAAAAGCTGATGAAATTGCTAAATTGGCAACTCGTCATCCAGTGATACATAAAACAATTCAACCCAGCCTTGAGAACATAAACATCACCAAAAAACTCTCACATCTCAACAAAGCCGACCTACACCAGAGAATAGCTGAAGGTTCGCCATCTGCAACATGGTATCTTCAGGCAACCAAATTAGAAAGGTTAAATATCCCAAAAGGAATCCACAGGAAAATAGAAGTTAGGCTATATAGACTACGTCTAGGTTACAGATGCAACTGGGAGATTGGTGAACCCCGACAGAGAGAGTGCATCTTCTGCCAAACTGTCACAGAAAAGCCATTACTTCACTATCTTCTGGAATGTGAAGCAACCAATGACCTTAGAAGAGCTTCAAGAGTTCCTGAATCATGCAGTGGCCACCCTGAAGCCATCAACACAGCCACTCTCCTGGTCAACAAAGGTGTCCAGCAGCTGGACACCCTCACAAAGACTGTGAAGCAGTATCCTCCCCCACGATAACAGCTTGATGGTTAAATGCAAACTCGGAATACTGATAAAAAAAAATTGTACCACTTGCGGGCTATTCATGCCCGTGCCACCTCTTGGGTGGCTTAATCTTCATCAATCAGTCAGAGGACCAAAACAGAAAACGGGACAGTACGTCACTTTCGCCAGCCGATTCCATTTTGAATTACGCCCCTCCCCTTTTTGTTTAGCCTGAGTGCGCATACGAGCGAAAAGCGACGTAATGTGTAAGAGGACGGGTTGACAAAGTAGCATTATCTCACCCGAATTCTGTGATGATGAACTGATCGATATCAGCGGTGTGGGTGTAGATGTCCTCCCGGGCCACCAGGTACACGGCCGCCCGCGTCACCGTCGCCGTCACCTTCACCCCCGTCACCTGGCTCACCACCGTCACGTCCGCTGTATACGTCACCTGCCGCGGGGAGAAATGTACACCCTTATTAAAGCCTCATTTGTAGTCCAATTTCAAAGAACACAGTCGGCACAAAAGTGAGGTCAAGAAAAAGTGAGTTGGTAGTGATCTGTTACTAAATATATACAAATTTATTTAACAAGGATTGAACAGAAATGTTTACAAATTTATTGGTGCAAAAACAGGGATGAAAGTGAATTCACAAAACTCAATATCGCTACAAGATAAGTGAAGGAATTTACCTGAAGGCTACTATATCCCTAGTGGTCTTGAGATTAGTATTTTCTTGTTGTTGACGTGTCTGCCATCGTCAGACTCCCACTGTCAGTTTTCCACTAATATATTGCACCATACAGGTTCTGAGGATCCCTTGGGGTTTAATTCCTCGTTGCTGCTTGCATTCAAGTTCTCTTGAACAAATCCACAAGGGCCGTGACGAGGATTCGAACCTGCGTCCGGGAGCATCCCAGACACTGCCTTAATCTACTGAGCTACGAAATGAACAATTTGTTCATTTGATGCATCACGTTAGTGTGATCTCCGTGTAGTTCAAGTAAGTAATTATCAAAAGAAGGCACCATACCGGGAAGGCTTGCGTGCAGTTCAAGTTCTCTTTTTACATACAGCGTTACCCCACCTGCTCTTGTTGTCCTTTCTGCAAGGATAACAACATTCTTCTGATATCCTGGAAGATGTACTTTCTTTTCAATTATGCTATCGCTTTCCCCATGTTTCACCGATATCAATGTTGTGGGATTTCTCGGCGGCAGTGTGCACATTAAATTAATTTACTAGGCTTCTTACATTTATGTAGATGAATTTAAACGCCTGGGAGTGTTCCTAAGGGGGCTGGTAGACTGTTCTAGCATTTTACTCACTTATTCTGTATAATGTCACTTTGGTTTTGTGCCCGTTTGTCGACATAGATATGTACAGGTTAGTACTAACCGGCTAGGCGAAGGAGACTGTCCTCTTCCAACCACAAGTCACCATCACCTGCCCTCTCCTTATCCTTGTGCTTTGAATTTTTGTATCCATACATTAAAACATTGATTGTAACCATGATATATGTGTGTGCTTCCGCCTACAGTTTAGACCTATTGTCTTATGTATGACCCTCTGTCCTGCGTGACAGTGAATACCAGCATTATCCTCACTTTAATAAGACTATCAAAATCCTCAGATTAGGCAAAATTTTAATTAATTTTGTCAATAAAAATGTTAATAATAAATATGAATTTTTGTACTGGCCAGCGTTTCTTAGTCTTTGTAATTTTTTTTCTTTTTCTTTATTTTTGGCCGTTTGCGAGGTCTAGGGAGATGTAAACTTGGTACTGTACTACCCTCTAATATTTTTTAGTTTACGTGCCTTTCTGAGTCTACTACCGTGTTCAAAATTTGTGTTGGTTATGAGTAGATTTGCCTTAAGCTTACCTAACTTGGGGAAATAGTTTTATCCTCTTCCTTGATTATCAAGTTTCCTATCACTGTCTTAAGGATTTCCTGATAATTCTTACCCTCTTTTTGTATGGTTCCTTGTAACTTTTCGTTTCATTTTTTCTAACATTGCTGGTTTGCATTTTTTGCAACCTCTGACACGAAGCCTCTGACACTTCAGAGGGATTATGTCCTTATCCTCAACTCTACCTGAATTCAGTGATTGTACAATCAGTACACCCTGATTGCTTGCGGGTGTACTCTCCGGGGTCTGGATGCCCACTGTAATCATGCCTAGAGATTGATATTCACTTTTTATTCACTAATATTCATCATTATATTCACTAATATAAAAAAATTATATTCACTAATTTTTTTTATTACATTTTTCTCCATCTCACTTCATTTTTTTTTAATGGTAGTGAATGGTTAGGGTCTTGCCACAATTATTGTAGGTTAAACAGTAAAATTAAAATAGCTTTTGCCTTAGGTTTGTAGGCCTTCAATTAGAGATTTTTTGACAATAGTTGTGACACGTCTTATGGCATAACTTGCGTTTAATTGACTGCTAACATAACAATTTTCCTGTTACACTTCATACCCCTTGAGGTTACCTTGAGGTGCTTCCGGGGCTTGGCGTCCCCGCGGCCCGGTCGTCGACCAGGCCTCCCGATTGCTGGACTGATCAACCAGGCTGTTTGACGCGGCTGTTCGCAGCCTGACGTACCCAATACAATCTTTTATCCATCTCCCTGATCCACTATTATACTTTGTCTTAACCCTCTTGAAAGACACCTGGAGTGGGTTCTGAGAATTCTACTCCAAGCAAGACCTGGGACTAGGCTTTTATTTTGATAACTTTGTCCAGAAGGCTGCTGCTTGAAGCGGCCTGCAGGCTCGCATTCACCACAACCTGGTTGGTTGTGGTGAATCCGTCACATTTTACAAAAACTTTTTTTTTCTTTACCATGTCCACTTTGTTCCAGCAATATTTCTTCCTTCCCTCCTTCATACCCACCTGTAGGTTCTCTACGGCCACATTAGCATAGAGGAAGATCCAGTCTGCCACCTTGTCGAGAGTAGCCGAGCCGTCTCTATGGAGCGTCGACATCCCGGAGACGAGCCCGTCGTACAGCTCCGCCGTTCCCTGTACCGTAGTGACATCAGATTAGTTTGATCACACACACACACAATTGACAAAGTGGAAATAGATCAAATGTTCACACGTAATAATAACAGAACGAGGGGACATGGGTGGAAACTGGAAACTCATCCAAGTCAGAGATGTTAAGAAGTTTTCTTTTAGCGTGAGAGTAGTGGAAAAATGGAATGCACTTAAGGAACAGGTTGTGGAAGCAAACTGTATTCATAATTTTAAAATTAGGTATGATAGGGAAATGGGACAGGAGTCATTGCTGTAAACAACCGATGGCTGGAAAGGCGGGATCCAAGAGTCAAAGCTCGATCTTGCAAGCACAAATAGGCGAGTACACACCACAAATTGTCTAACCAAACCGCTTTCACTCCTCCCTATACTTCATCATAACCTGTCTGATCGCACTTCACTAACCGTTTTAGGGTTATTTTCCTACAAAACAACAAACCCAAATCACCACCTACGCCCACCCACATCTATCAGTACTTTCGTCCGAGCTTGTATATAACAAACTTCATACCCTTAAAAGTAAGTAATTATTACAAGAAGGCACCAAGCCAGGGAGACTCGTGTAGCACCATGAAATATTCAACAGGCGCTAAATATCACCAAGGATGCCAATACGAGAACAAAAGCGCACTAGGCGAGCTATATCAAATGTATCCGATACACGAAGGATTCGGTCGAGGGACAAGTGACCGCGAGGGACGGTCGGGAAGCAAGACACACGCTCGTCCTGGAAGTCAGGACATTCAACAAGGATATACACGACTGTAAGAGAGACAGTAGTTCGGACAATAAGGAACAGGGCGGCGCTCCATTAAGCGCCCGTGAGTTTAAGCTTGTATGGCCAATCTGGAACCTCGCCAGAGCCCTTTCCCACCGCAAATTACGATGGTAAGTCATGGGGACACGCTACTCTTTAGAGTACACAGTTTGTTAATATACATCTTTCTAAACTAGACCACAACCAACAAGACCAACGACCCTGCTACTGGTAACACAACACCAACAGTCATGTATTTAGGAATGAATGAATGAGTAGAAATCTGAATAATAAAAAAAAAAGCCTTTTCGGAAAATGGGACAAGTGCGGATAGCTTCTATAGTGGCGATGTTAACACGCCTATTTAAAGACATACCAATATGGCCGGGAACCCAGCCAAACAACCTGCTTAAATTGCTAGAAATTAGAAACTGCCAATATGGGATTTCAACTACCACAGGATGTATAGGATTAAATGACTCTTAAAGTCATAAGAGCACTACGAGGGAGCACCACAATGACAAAGGAACACTGGTGATGGAAAAGTAATTGACAAACGGCATACAAGGTCGCATACACGAAGGATTGTATGCGACTCCGGAGGCTATCATCCGTCAAGATGATAGCCTCCGGAGGTGGGCGGGACATACAGGTGGTGTCTGGACAGACAACACAGTAGCTAACCGTCGGCAGACAGACCCGTCTGTGAAGAGGGCAATACAACGCGAGTGCGAAGAAAAACGTTCAAGGAAAAGGCGTTTCGGAACAATACGAGGAGTAGAAGCTTTTACCACGCGGGTAAAAACTTCGGTTACAAAACTTGACAAGCGGGGACCCCGCCCTGGAGGTAAGGTTCGACGAGAGAAGACAGTGCTAACACAACCCGAAGGAGAGGCTTGTAAGAGATCCTGATCCTATAGAACTCACTCCCTGATGAATTTAAAAATTTAGAGAATTCTATTTTTGGTCCGTCACTCTTGTCTATCCAAGTTATCTATGTTCCAGCGATGTGTCAATATTTCATTCAAAATCATCTGCTACCAGAAATTTTAGCCAATTATCCCCAGTTTGCCAACTGTAGGTAGTAATTAAGTGATTGTAACCTATTGTATCCACTGCTGCACACTGGATGGGGGGCGGTGTGCAGGACAAACATATCAACTGTGACACTAGGCTCTCCACATATGTCAGTTGCTTAATTTAGAACCTGTACTTGTGGTCGATCTCGAACCCATTGATGATGTGACGACTTATATTGAATGTTGTAACTAGCTCATCAAGATTGTAACTTGCTTAGCTAAATGAATTGTGGGGTTCAGTCCCTGAGCCCATTATGTGCCTCTGTAACCCTTTCCACTACCGCCCACAAGATGGGTATGGGGTGCATAATAAATGAACTAAACTACTAAACCATCCCTTGTTCAAAAGTAAAACCAAAAAACACCTAATTTCATCCTCAGTTTCCCATCTTGTGCTTCAAACTCTCACTGTATCTTATACTACCAACTTCCCCAATATTAGTACTCAAGACATGTCTTTACCAGTGTAATCACTTCTGTCAATTTACATTGTAGACGATATAAAACCTTGCTACAATATATCTTTTCATCTTACCTGATATGTTAGATTAAGGACCTGCCCGAAACGCTATGCGTGTTTTTTTTTTTTTTTTTTTTTTTTTTTTTTTTTTTTTTTTGAGATATATACAAGAGGAGTTACATTCTTGTACAGCCTCTAGTACGCGTAGCGTTTCGGGCAAGTCCTTAATCCTATGGTCCCTGGAATACGATCCCCTGCCGCGAAGAATCGTTTTTTCATCCAAGTACACATTTTACTGTTGCGTTAAACAGAGGCTACAGTTAAGGAATTGCGCCCAGTAAATCCTCCCCGGCCAGGATACGAACCCATGACATAGCGCTCGCGGAACGCCAGGCGAGTGTCTTACCACTACACCACGGAGACTGTTAGTGGCTTTGCACGAATGTAAAAAATACCAGTCTTTTGTAATCTAACCAAACCATTGTACATTTTTGCAAATAAATTATTATTATAGAAAACGAAAGGTAGTGAATGGGAACAGGGCCAAAAGGAGGGGGCAACAAACAAAACCCAGCAAAGGCGAGAATGAGTATGTTTCAGAGATCTCTTGAGGTAGCGAAGGCAGTAACAATCTACTTGAGAATGGTCCAGGACGGACCGAAACGTCGTCGTCGTCCCTTCTAGTGTGCGGTCTGGTCAACATACTTTAGCCACGTTATTGTGACTCCTCGCCTGCAGTAACGATCTCTACGATCCTGTAGCGACCAGACGTCTCTGTCAACAAGATCTGGGTAGGTAGGAGACGAACGAAGGGCACCAGAGCTGACGTGCAACACGTCGTGGTGCAACACGTCGTGGTGCAGAGCATCAAGACGACGAAGAGACGGAGGAGGATGCGGGACAGCCATAGAGTTTAGACAGCACGAAAGAAGAGCGTCTATCAGCTCCCCAGGAAAATGAAATGAACTATCAGGGGAAAGCGCCAAGTCATTACGACTATATAGCACTTGGAAGGGGGTCAGGATAAGGATTTGGGATGGGACGGGGGGAAGGAATAGTGCCCAACCACTTGGACGGTCGGGGATTGAACGCCGACTTGCATAAAGCGAGACCGTCGCTCTACCGTCCACTCCAAGTGGTTGGACAGCTCCCCAGGAAGTATCTTGAGGATATCTTTATGATGATTTCGGGGCCTTTAGTGTCCCCGCGGCCCGGTCCTCGACCAGGCCTCCACCCTCAGGAAGCAGCCCGTGACAGCTGACTAACACCCAGGTACCTATTTTACTGCTAGGTAACAGGGGCATAGGATGAAAGAAACTCTGCCCATTGTTTCTCGCCGGCGCCTGGGATCGAACCCAGGACCACAAGTATGAGACAAGACTAAGTAAGGACTTTACAGCATTCAACTCAGAGGCACATTCCATTTAAGAACATAAGTCACGAACAGAGATCACAGAAAAAAACGAGAAAAAACGAAGTCAAGGGATACAAGAGAGTATCACGCTGTGAAATGTAAAGATGGTGGAGTTGAAGGGGTGGAAGGAGCGGGCACAGGCGGACAGTGTGAGGAACCATCGGATGGGAGCAGTTGAGGGAATGGGGAAGGACACACAATTGATTGATTGATGAAGATTAAGCCACCCAAAATGTGGCACGGGCATGAATAGCCCGTACTCTTCAAGTACTTGTACTCTTCAAGTCACTTGTATTGTCCCGTCTTGAGTACTGTTCAGTACTCACTTCCCCCTTCAGAGCAGGAGAGATTGCTGAAATAGAGGGAATACAGAGAACATATACGGCACGCATAGACGCAATAAAGCACCTAAATTATTGGGATCGTCTCAAAGCCCTCCAAATGTACTCACTAGAAAGAAGACGAGAGAGATATCAAATAATATACACCTGGAAGATACTGGAGGGCCAAGTACCAAATCTACACAGTAAAATAACGTACTGGAGTAAACGATATGGAAGAAAATGTAGAATAGAACCAGTGAAGAGCAGAGGTGCCATAGGCACAATCAGAGAACACTGTATAAACATCAGAGGTCCGCGGTTGTTCAACGTCCTCCCAGCAAGCATAAGAAATATTGCCGGAACAACCGTGGACATTTTCAAGAGGAAACTAGATTTATTCCTCCAAGGAGTGCCGGACCAACCGGGCTGTGGTGGGTATGTGGGCCTGCGGGCCGCTCCAAGCAACAGCCTGGTGGACCAAACTCTCACAAGTCGAGCCTGGCCTCGGGCCGGGCTTGGGGAGTAGAAGAACTCCCAGAACCCCATCAACCAGGTATCAACCAGCCCGTAAGTGGTGGCCCTTTTGAGCCATTACCAGTATCAATAGATGATACTGGAGATCTGTAGAGGTGCGACTGCACCCTGCGTGACGGGAGATGTCTCCCGTCAGGCGAAGGGCACACAGTGGAGGGCACGTTATCAAAGGCAGCATCAGAGACAATCAAGGGCCACGGGAGTCTCCACAGCTGACTCTGCCACAGACGGTATGCAGGGAAAGAGCCAGAGGGTGGAAAGTAGGGGATGGATCGACGACTTCTTACCAGCTGGGGAGGAAAGTGAAGAGGAAAAAGATTGACGTTTCCGACAGATACAGGCGTGCCAGTAGCAATACACTGTGAGACAGCCTCCACAGGAGAGGAAGAACGAGAGCACAAAAGACGGCTGCTGCCTCCAGCGAAGGGACCTCAACTACCCTTGTGCCAGTGGGGTTAAGAGCTGGATTGATTGATTGATGAAGATTAAGCCACCCAAAAGGTGGCACGGGCATGAATAGCCCGTAAGTGGTGGTCCTTTTGAGCCATTACCAGTATCAATAGATGATACTGGAGAACTGTGGAGGTGCGGCTGCACCCTGCGTGACGGGAGATGTCTCCCGTCTAAGAGCTGGGTGTTAAGAGAGTTAAGGACGGGGTGGGGTCAAGAGTGACATGGATATCCACCAAATCAACCAGGTGTTCATGGACGTGTAAATCATCAAGACTTGTATGATCATCATGACATAAAACAGCCCGTCCTCCAAACAAAGATCCAAAAGTGATTCCATGCACCCGCCAAACCCCCTGTTTATGAATGAAAAACGGTTTACACACGACTCACAACTGCTGACGTTCGAACACTTCCGGAACAAGTGTTTCACTGACGAATTTTGTTCGAATCACAACGCAGTAAATGCTTCACCCACGTACTAAAACTACAAATAATCACCAACAGAACCTAAACACCTAACCTAACCTATGCCTATATATGCACAATATGCTAATATAATATTAATTTATACTTTAGAAAATTCCCGTTTTGAATGAACAGCATGTTAAAATTTATGAATGCGTCTGTGGGGTTGACCGCTGGATGTAATGGACTTGAGTCGAGGACGGGTTGAACAAAAATTAGTTGCTCCACTTGGTAGGGCCAAACAAATCCTGGAACGTAGTAGAGACGGGAAAATTTCACTTATTTATTATACACCCCCATTCCCATCCCGTGGGTGGTGGTGGAAAGGGTTACAGAGGCGCATAATGTGGGAAGGAATAAAGTGTTCGATTGCGGGGTTTATGGTAGAGCTCCCTCAGTGAGCAAGGGGGGAGGGGAGTGAAAGGAACAAGGCACAGTTGTCACAAGAGATGGACACTGTGCCAGGTAAAGTACGGGCTCACCATAGCCCGTGCTACTTGGAACTTTTTCAGAGTAGCTGAATCTATTCCAACAAACAGAGGTGGAGCCTACACCACAGTGTAGCAGGAGGTTTGCCCTCTGCAATATGATATCGTCAGGCCACCAAGTTAAAAAGATTATATATATCCCAAAAGGAATCCACAAGGAAATAGCAGTTCGGTTACACAGACTACGTCTAGGTTACAGATGCAACTGGGAAATTGGTGAACCCAGACAAGAGAGAGTGCATCTTCTGCCAAACAATCACAGAAAAGCCATTACTTCACTATCTCCTGGAATATGAAGCAACCTACGACCTTAGAAGAGCTTTAAGAGTCCCTGAATCTTGCAGTAACCACCCGGAAGCCATCAGCACTGCCACTCTTCTGGTCAAAAAAAAGGTGTCCAGCAGCTGGACACCCTCAAAATACTGTCAAGCAGTATCCTCCCCCGCGATAGCAGCCTGACGATTAAATGCGACCTCAGCACACTGTATACATTTACTGAACAAAAATTTTACCACTTACGGGCTAACAGGTTGTGAATGCCCGTGCCACCTCTTGGGTGGCTTAATCTCCATCAATCAATCAGAGATGGAGCCACTACCGGTGACGAGGAGCAACGATTAATGAGATGGGTTAGAGGTTGTGGATAGTCAACCAAGCAGGTTAGGAGGAGGATAAGGGGTGGGTGGATAGTGAACCACGGACACAAAAGTATTATCTTCAACACGGAAGGAAGTTTACCAGTCCGAAGTTGAGGGAGGTCTTCGGGAGTTCGACGGGGTCCATGCCGTCAGACACCATAAGGGCGTCAACTGTCGACATCACCAAGTCCATGAACTCATTAGCGTTGCCGATGTCAGTGACGTCTCTGAAAAAGAGCAGCAAATACGTTATATCATACAAATTGAAATTCCCATAAAATGCATCCAAGGTTTTTGAAGCAATATACGATACAGTCAAGGCCGCTCCTGTGGACAAGGATGAACGCTTACATCTGTTCACGTGTGATGATGTCCGAGATAGAGACGTTCTTGAGGATTTCATTGATGCCATCCTCCAGAGCGCTGGTCAGGATGGGGTCTATCACTTCCCAGACCGCGTTGAATATCGCAGGAGCTGTGAGAAGCGAAAATGGGATTTCCTTTTAGCATTAACGAGCTAGCTTTCGGCACAAACTATGTAACCCTAACATAGTGTCTAGGGTAGCTGCATTAATGCAAATGTACTTGTGTTAATGCAAGAGAATGGGGAAGGGGGGTAAAAGCAGGTTATAAGGCTGTTTTAAACTGTCAGCAATTTTTACGGGAGACATCTCCCGTCACGCAGGGTGCAGTTGCACCTCCACAGATCTCCAGTATCAGCTCTTGAAAAGGGCCACCACTTATGGGCTATTCATGCCCGTGCCACCTTTTGGATGGCTTAATCTTCATCTCTTGTCAGCAATTGCACAAGTGATGAGTCTGCAACAGCGTATATGTTACTGCTGCATGTAAACACGTCAGTGGTGCTGTGATTTCTCTACAGAGAACCTGTAGCAGAGTGGTTAGTGCAGGCAGGTCACAACCGGTACCAGCGTAATGAACCAGACGACAGCCGTGACGTGAGACACATCTACACTCCCAGCACGGTTAATGGGGTGGAGTGAAGGTGTGGTTCCCCCACAGGATGGTTATGGGGTGTGTGTGGGGGCGGTCTACCCACTAGAGGATAGTTATGGGGAGGATAATAAATGACCTAAAGACATAATCGAACTCACCAATCTCGCTGGCGAGGCTGTTGATGAGGTCGGCCATGTCCCCGCACCCCAAGATGCACTCCATTACCAGCTGCCTCGCGGACATGTTGGGAAAATGTTATATGTTAGGAATGATTGAGTACGAATGATTGAGTGAATGATTGTCTGCCTCCACCTGCAGTCTCCTATAAACAGTACTCGCTTCATCTTCAACTAGCAATTCCCTATACATCTCTATTCGTTCTTCCTCCAAAACCAATCACCAATCATCTTCCACCTATAACCAATCACTTTCAACCGTAACCAAACCTTATCAACTGGTAACTTTTGTTCCCATTAAGTAGAATAGAGAATCAGAGTTCAGTACAGTGAAAGTACTCTCACAACTTCTCTACTGCCAAGTTCCTGGAGCTGGATTCGACAAGCATTTACACATCTACTTAGGAACCTGTACACATTTCTTAAATTTTAATAAAATAAATAAAGCCATTAAAGTTTAATAAGCATCGAAACATTCCAATCAAATGTTACAAACAGCCTCCTTAAGCTGTAATGGTCTGTGTACAGACCTAGCTTCTTCCCTTCCCCTCGTTCATCTTCCCCTTCCTTGTTCATTCTTCCCCCCTCCCCTCCCCCATTGCCTCATCTTTCCTTCCCTTTCCCTCCACCTTTTCCTGCCATAAAACGGCGGAGTCACGTTTTCCCTAGGCAAGCGAGACCGGCGCAGGCCATCGTCCTATTCTCCACCAATCCTCCTAATCCTCCTTCCCAGCCGTTCCCTCCTCTCTCCTAGCTTTAAATTTCTTTAAATTTTGCCCCGAGGGGCGAGTTTATTGGACAGCGCCACTCATCCTGTGAGTGGACACACCGCCATAGTGACAGTATTGGGCAGCGCCACTCATCCTGTGAGTGGACACACCGCCATAGCAGCATGTACAACACTCCCCAATAGGAAGAAAACCCGCTGGGTTGTTCATCCTCTCACTTGTACCCAGACACAGCTGGGACTTGCTTAACTGTCTCAAGTGAACAGCTCCTCAAACAAGAAATATCTCCTAGCTGTCTCCTCTATAGCCAATGACAAATTAAGGGGACAAACTCAGCAGCTGCCATATATGGTGTTTAAGTGTTCGGAGCATTGGCTTCAAGCAATTCAACAGTCCTGAAGTCAGCAAACTTCAGTTTTAGCCAAACGTCTCCAAGTGTAGATAGTAACTGTGGGTGACTGACCTATCCACCGCTGCCCAAATTATGAAACAATAGATGAACTAAACTAACTCTGGTAACCCATCCTCTCAAATAGTACATCGCATTTTGACGTATAAATCCATCAAAACCAAAAACTAATATACATAGCGGCTCGCAGGAGTGACATTGTGTCCCCGTTTTCTATTCGTGGCTCCTTTGTTAGATTCAGGCAATTCAGTACATCAGTTTAGTGACGCTGTGAACGTTGCAGAGGATGCGCTGTTTCAACAGTCTTCCATACAGCTTCTTGGATGATAATTTACATAATCCGTAGCCTCTTGGCCCACGACTGTTTCAAAATATGAAGCCTCATCTATGTGCGTTACATTTCAGGATACAAAAGAGCTTAAATGGCTACCTAGATCGTATTCATCTCATTTTTTCTCTTGCAATGTATCTTATTTTATTAATTCTGCTAAAATTTACCTACTTAAAATTATCTGTTAGATTAAGGACCTGCCCGAAACGCTGCGCGTACTAGTGGCTTTACAAGATTGTAAATACTATGCTATGTATTCTCACAAACCCAATGTACCTTTTTGTATATAAATAAGTAAATAAAATAAATAAATAAATTCACGACGAAGACGAGCTTAAAAGGCTACCTAGATCACATTCAGTATAAATAACTTTTAGAGAGGCTACTAAGGCATGATTTGAGAAATTTTGCCGACTTCTACAAGACCGGGATATTTGAAACAAATAATCTCAAGTCATTGGTGAGAATATATTAAAAATGACAACACTAAATATGGTTTAGTGTTTTATTTTTTTTCTTGTATTGTCATAAGTGCAGTTTATAACACGTTTTAACCGGGAAAAATGTGTTACAAGTTAGGATTAAAGTACCAAACTAAAGGGGGATAGAAAATGGCATTAATGACAGGAAGAAGAGACTGCAATTAGACATGGGCGAGGACTTACGTCAAGCGACTCGAAGGCTATATCGATTTGGAGGTTCTTTACGGAGGCGTGATCGGAGATGGGGTTGTAGCTGATCTTGGCTGCCACCACGGCCTGAGCCTCGTTCACGTCCAAACTGTGGAAGCAACACGAGGAGGAATTTTGAGTGGCAGCAATTGTTATTTCTACACTTCAATACTAGTGTAACTTTTGTTTCAGTTATTTGTTTATATATTTAATTCACAAAAGGGGGGGGGGGTTTCATCTGTACCCGGGTGTGTCTCCCCTGTAATTCTCCTTATCCTCCCACACGCCCTCTTTCAATTTTCAAATATCCTTCTCTTGAAACATCCCTTCCCCTTCTCCCTGTTCTTTCTTCTCTTCCTATGTCTTTCTCTGCCCTGGTCAAGCTGATCTCTTCAGGCTTGTGTCTGTGTCTTGTAAAAATATAATAATCTACTATATTGGTTAGGAGTGGAGCCTGTGGATTAATTTGACTCAACACGGGGAACCTCACCAGGCCCAGACACCGGAAGGATTGACAGATTGAGAGTTCTTTCTCGATTCGGTGGGTGGTGGTGCATGGCCGTTCTTCATTGGTATGTGATTATAATCTACTCTTGGCATGTGGGTGGGCTGCTGGTGAGAGTAGCCTAGCATGTTAAGTACTTTTGTATTTACTAGAGAAGAACCTGATATTTGACTTATAGCTGAATAAATCCATGTAGGCAGGGAGGAAGGCAAGTTGAATCGTCTAGTGGTTACCACAGAAAAAAATGAAAGTCAAACAAGATAAAATTTTTGTCAGGGGTTCTTAAAAATGTAAAGATGAGCGAGTGAGAGGTTGAGAGCAGGCGACTGAGGCTCTAGCCTCGCCCAGCTTTCTAAAAAGAATCATGTTGGGTCTAGGAGTGTCGCATGCCAGCCGGTGTCTGCCAAAGTGAAATGCTTCAAGAAATATCGGCATTTAGAGATCACCCTCTTCCCCCACCCACCTATTTAATTTTCCATGAAATCCGAAATATTTATTGCGTCCCCATTGCGTTGTTTAGCACTTATAGTGCTTTGTAATAACTATTCGAAGAGGGAGAGAAGAGGGGGACGAGCGAGGGAGAGAGACCCGGTCACTGCCGGTTATCTTTTGTAATATTTAGTAAATTACAGCTAAGCAAGATATCGGAATTCTGGATGGTAGCCCATGTTGTGCCAATCTTTGAAGAAAGGAAATAGATCACTAGTATCGAGCTATCGCCCAAATGCCTTAATGTATATCGCGGGAAAGTTGCTCAAATCAATAACGGCAAAAGCCATTCAAGTACATCTTAAAAGAGCAGATTAATAAAAGATTTATGATATAGTTATACAAAGGGCCGCTGATGTCTGAGATGTTCTCTTAATCTTTCCAGCATATTTGACGGAGTTTATAGTGGAAAGGATTGCGGGGTTGTATATCTTTACTTTACAATAGTTTCCGAAACTGCCTCACTGTTAATAAAGACAAAGGCTCAAAGTATTGTGGAAGTACCTGGGAGTTAGTCTGCTGTCACGGGCTGCTTCCTGGGGGTGGAGGCCTGGTCGAGGACCGGGCCACGGGGACACTAAAGCCCCGAAATCATCTCAAGATAATCTCAAGATTGTGAAAGCTTTATATAATCAGATAATGATGTGGTTATTTCAGAGGAAACAAGAACGGATTCCTTCAAGAGACAAGTGACACCTAGGACATAAGGAAAGCAAGACTTGCAATTCTCCTGAAAATCGAGACATTCTACAAGGAGGTGCACGACAAAGTGAGAATGCAGTTCAAACAATGAGGAACATAGCTATGTTCCATCAAGTGCCTTCGAGAGCAATGTGTAGGGGCAGAGATGCAACTTGGCCAGAGCCGTTTCCCGGCATCATCCACTCTTGGTTCAACCTTGACGACGGGCGGACGCCTGGGATCACATGTTACGCGATTTTGTCCATCGAGTCTGTATACTGCCGTCTGGCATTCCTATTCAATGGTCCATAGATTGTTGTGATGATTGATGAAGATTAAGCCACCCAAAAGGTGGCACGGGCATGAATAGCCCGTAAGTGGTGGCCCATTTGAGCCATTACCAGTATCAATAGATGATACGGGAGATCTGTGGAGGTGCGACTGCACCCTGCGTGACGGGAGATGTCTCCCGTCAGAAGGATTGTTGTGATGCTTGGCGCTCATATCACCTGGAGGTCACATCGAGCGACGTTTATAGATTTTGGGAGTTTTCTGGCTGGTTCTTCGGATGGGAATACTAGCCAGCGCCAGCACGGCCATGAGGTGTGCCCCGGGCAGTGGTAAGCAGCTGGCTTCTACTCTGCCCGAGGGCGCTGGATCTCTTTACATTTCTGCCCGTATGAGTAAGAGTTCAGGAGGGACTGCGTCTTTGCATTGACTATCCTATGTGTGGATGGAACCCGTTGCTTGCCTCCCTAGGGTCTCCTTGGGCTCCCCAACCATCAGTCTATCTGACTATTCACCACAAGGCGCATTCCTTTCCGCCGACAGGAGACGTTCATTTCGCCGTATGGCTTTGCGATTTATCCTTTAAGAATACGCCAGAGCACATACGGCACCTCTGCTATGTGCGCTCTGGCGGCCCCTTCCTCTGGCCGGCCTCTGGTGTGTGCACCTCGCGGCCCCTAAACCAAGAACAGTGTTATGGTGGTAAGAGAAGGTTAAGGGTGTAAATGACACCTATAAGAGTACACACACTTTGTTACCTGTAACACCAGACCAACGGCACTGCCAAAGGTCACGGAATGTGGAATGATTGACTTTTGTTGAAATCCAAATAAGGAATCCCTTTTCGGGAAACGAGTACAAATGGCCTTAGACGAGGTGTCTATACACTTATAACACTATCAATATTGATGGGAACCCACCAATATTCAACCGTCTTAAACCTGCTAGAGATAAGAAACAACCTGTATTAGAATGCGAGATAACCAGAGGATGCAACGGGTTAAATGACTCTAGAGCCATGAGGGCATTGTAAAAGTCACCTACGATAACAGAGGAACGTTCACGTCAAAATACTAGCCAACAGCATGGAAATAAATGCATAAAGTTTGCCATATTTGGTAGTCTCTGGAGGCAGGCAGCGCGCACAGGTTTCGTCAGGAAAAACGAGGGAGCCAACACCGCTGCCAGACTTTGACCACTCTGAATAATATAATGAAGTGTGAGAAGACGTGCACAAGGAAAAGTAGTTTCATAACAGTACAAGCCTTCGCAATATGGGTCAAGGCCTTGCATAACTTTGCCAGTTGGACCTTCCATGGGGGCCAAGGGAGGAACACGAGGAGAAATTTTGCGAAAGTGAATCCAAGAGAATCTTCCAACCGAGTCATCTATAAATCATCTATAAAAGGGGGAAGGGAAGATGGCGAGATAAAACGCGGCCCTCCTGAGGGGGCAACAGACAAGACAACCTCGCAACATAAGCGAGAATGTTGCAGGGACCATACAGGTGGCGAACGCAGTAATGATCTTAAATCCTATAAACAGGACGCCGGTTTCAACGTATGTTTAAACTCACGTTTAGTTGTACAGCTAAAACTCCCATTTTAGCTGTACGTTTAAACTCTACGTTCAACTCTCACGTCTACCTGTGCGGGTAACTACGAGCCAATACACTCCTTCCAAAACAGAAAAGATTCAGTCATTTGTCTGCGTCTGTCTTTTCCAGGCCACACACGCTGTCAGTGAGTTCCACGAAGGGACGTACTTCCGCATGTCACGGGAGGTACAGCAAGGAACAACGAGCAGTGGCCAATAAGGTGTCTTGAAATAGGAGCATGGAAGAGAGAGAGAGATCAGACATGTTGGGAAGAGCAGTGTCGAAGTAAAAGATTCCAATTTGCCTCAACAAACTGCCATCGAGGAAAAGTGGACGGAAAGGAAAGGTTTTACAAGGGATAGGGAAATGGTCACTATTTTGGAGCTCATCGACGACCTTCCATGTCGGGTCGCCATCAATGGAAGAGGCAGGTGTGCACAGTAAGCGAGTGGGTGAGAGCATGAGTGTGAGATAGACCAGAAAGGATGTGAGTGCACGAGTCTACAAGAGTCGACTCGCCGGAATTCAGGTGACAACAAAAAAGTTTGAAAGGTTCTAGAAGAGCGTCTCTGGTATTTGTCCAGATCATTACCCCAGAGGGAATGCCGATCCCATGTTATAGATTCAGCTACTCTGAACGAGCTCCAAGTAGCACCGGCTATAGTGAGCCCGTAACTTACCTGGCACAGGAGCGGGGCAAGAAGCACGGGCTATGGTTAGCCTCCCGGGTGATCCCAACAAGCAATTCCTCCTATACCTGTCTGCACCTCACCTGTAACCACCGCTACCAAAGACCGGGAAGATCGCTAGAGCGGTGCCATCTACATCATACTGGCCCTCGATGCGGAAGTCTTCAAGACGAAGGTCGACATCCAACTTCTCGGAGATGCCCAGAGTGAAGTTCACTTGACAGACTACGTACTGTGACAAGTACTTGACCAGCGTGTCGTTCACCGTTCCGTCCAACCTGCAGGGCCGAAGAACAGAAAGTTGCAAGTGCATTGTAGGTGTAGGAAATGGAAGACGTCGTCTTCATCTGTCATGTGGCACTTGCACCGCCTCACCACCTAAGGGGGAACATTGCCCAACATACCTGAGGTTCGAAACGTCGATATGCAAGGGTATGACCGGCAGAGGACCCAGGGGGTCGAGCGGAGGGATGCCAAGATCTGGCAGACCATTGACGAGCAACGGGCGAACAGCTTCCAAGGCGTTCGCGATGATGTCTGCCACAGCATTGTTGCCGGGAGGGTCCAAGCAGCCATCTGTGATACAAAAAGACTAACATTAGGTAGGAGTTAAAACCACTGGAAAGTGGAAACCCTTTCACCCAAGAGTCCTCCAGAGGTTATGAGGGGTTTTAGGTTGTTAAGACATTTCCAGTGATGAGGCATTTCTTAATGGCAAGTAGAGGGAGTTCCCTCACGTGAGGGGTAAGAGGAATTTTTTCACTGGAGGAGAATTTCCATGAAGTGAAAAAGGCATTTGCACTGGCAGGTGATGGAAGGGGCTCCAGTTGTTAGAAGAGTAAAGTCTTAATGGAAACTTACGGTTAAAATTCCAGGGGACAGGTCAGGGAAAGGGAAAAAATATCTCTTTTTCGTCACTAATTTACACTGAAGTTTGCAGGCAATAAATGGACATTTTCTATAGTTATCTATGTCAATGTGGAGATTCTAGACTTTTATGGAACACTACCGTTTTATTTACAACTTTTGTGTAAATCTGCCCCGTCTTGTAGTTTATGTAACGCCTTTAATGAAGACAGGAAAGGATTCCCGAATCAGTGGCGGTACTGTTGAGTACTCTATTATAGATCCGATTTGATAGTCTAGTGTTTAACACCGCAGCAGGTAGACGATGTGCAACTCTGAACAAGGTACTTTCCCACTGCATTTAAAAATAAAAATGTACACGTTTTGTATCTGAAACGTTTTCCGTAAATTTTTTATAACATGGAAATTAATGGGTTGTATATCACTTTCTTACTTGTGTAAAGGAGGAAATGTATATGTTTATCTCTCAGAATGTTCGGTAATACGTTTATTGTTTGTGATGTGTGTGTATATATATGTATTAACACGATGTACTGAACGGGGTGAGAATAGCTTTAGCAACCTCATCCCTTTGTGTATTTTACCTCAATAAACTTATTTCAATTTCAATCACTTTCTAGCCTTGTATATGGTATACATGAGGGTATACTGGGTGCCTGCAAGCGGTAGCCACCAAGTATGCATTTTCTAGGGTGACAGTTTCTTGTCTTCTTAGTTTCTTAACTATTCCAAACAGTTAAGTATTTCTGTTATTCCCGCCGTAACCCTGGAAAACGTCAGCAAGCCTCTGGTATTACCTGCAGCACGTCATCAAAGTGGATTAATCACAGTCATGGTAACATTATTATGGCAAATATTATCACCGTTAAGAATAATAATAGAAATAAAGTATTATGTCTCACCTGGTAATTGAGCAAAGGTGGAAGCAGACATGGCGGCCGCCATCACCACCACCACAACGGTCGTCACAGACCCCATGACTGGCTCTGGGGGAAAGGAACCACGAGGGAAAGTTAAGTCTTATGTAACCAGTCTCAAGGACCTGTCCGAGGACCTCAATCCCAACACTACATTGATTCAAGTATGTTTACCGAGACGAGAAAGAAATACATCTCAAAGGGATAGAGTAGCTTAGGCTATTTCTACCCTTCCCCCCCTCCCACTACATTGATTACACTGATGGCAGGGAGGGGGGGGGGGATACATTTAATATTACCCACTAACAACTAATTTTTGTCTTTAGCTATAGTTCTGTATCCCTTACTGGCTCCAGCTTCGGTGTTCCCTTATGGGTATTTCCTCCTTCCTTTGGGGGTACTGGGTGTTTATTTAAATGTTCAATAAATCACAGATTTCGGTAATAACTGATTATTAATGCCAGGATTCATTAAGCATCTACACAGCCACTCTTGATTGTTGGCAGATGTACAGGTCTCTTAAATAGTTTTCTTCGGGGCTGTTAAGCAGTTTGAGCTCTGAAGCACTACGAGGTTGGTTTTAATAACCTTTGAGTGTCAAGTTTCGAAGTTCAAACTATTTAATAAATGTAAACAAAGCTCCTATGGTCGGGGAACGATTTACAGGTTTCTTTGGTTGCGTAAATGCTTGATGAATCTTGACCAAGTTTCTTTTCGGAAGCTATATTTTAAACATTAGTCATTTAAGTCTAAGGCAGAATAATATCCAAGGCGTTTTTGAAAGATGCAAATGTGTGTTTAAAATATGAGACATTTAAAAATGTGTCTCGCATTTCGGTAATGACCAAGAGCTCTTTCAAAAACGGACCTTTCTTCGTGATTTAAAATATTTTGCTACTTAGTTATCTGGGGGCAGCCTCGCCCCTACTTTGTCTAGAACACTGCTCTCACATCTGGGGGCGGCCTCGCCCCTACCTTGTCTAGAACACTGCTCTCACATCTGGGGGCAGCCTCGCCCCTACCTTGTCTAGAACACTGCTCTCACATCTGGGGGCGGCCTCGCCCCTACCTTGTCTAGAACACTGCTCTCACATCTGGGGGCAGCCTCGCCCCTACCTTGTCTAGAACACTGCTCTCACATCTGGGGGCAGCCTCGCCCCTACCTTGTCTAGAACACTGCTCTCACATCTGGGGGCAGCCTCGCCCCTACCTTGTCTAGAACACTGCTCTCACATCTGGGGGCAGCCTCGCCCCTACCTTGTCTAGAACACTGCTCTCACATCTGGGGGCAGCCTCGCCCCTACCTTGTCTAGAACACTGCTCCCACATCTGGGGGCTGCCTTCCAGCCTCGCTAGCAATATTTTTGTTACATGTCAGCTTTTGCCGTGACAAGTTCACCTGACTTCGTAACCAAGACTGAGCCCTTGGCCCTCCAAGACAAATTACCTTCGTGTTCTCTTCTACCGCCACTTCGTGACTCCTGCCCTCATTAACTTGCCAGTTATAACACTTGGCTACACACAGTAACTGACAATTCAAGAATATTTGACGTCTCTAATGGTCACCGATTCATTTCGTTACTGCATTCTTGCTCCACTGATGCGTGAGGAGCAAGAGATCTCCATCGTAGTCTCACCTTAACACAGGTTGTCCTCAAGCAGCCTAACGAGAGAGTGAGGATATTCCAAGCTCCAAGACGGCAGTGTGTGTGGAGTGTTCCTTATCTCTCTCTCACCCAGCTGACTAAAAACAAAATACGGACACGCCTGACGACCACCACCTGTGTTTATCTGTTATGTCGAGTCTTCTACACGGTTGTTTATCACTCGTGGCCTTGGCTTCGACCGCCACCCTGGGAACAGCTGGCCTTTGTTTACACTCCGTGGCTGTTAATACATTTTTAATTCGGTTGCCCACTGCCTTACTCTTAAGAAAAAAGTGGTTGCTTTATTTTGACCTTTTAAGATTAGAAAGATATGACGTGCTGTCTAAGGAAACCTATTATTGACTTGGCAATACTCGAGACAGCTTTTGGAAAGACAGAGCAGCCTAGTTGTTTAAGCCAAGCTAGGGCCTTCCTGTTACACCTAAATTCCGCCTTGGGCACCCGCCTGGACCATCGGCGGGGAGTCGGTCGTAGGGAGCCAGTCGGCCGAGCGGACAGCACGCTGGACTTGTGATCCTGTGGTTCTGGGTTCGATCCCAGGCGCCGGCGAGAAACAATGGGCAGTTTCTTTCACCTTATGCCCCTGTTACCTAGCAGTAAAATAGGTACCTGGGTGTTAGTCAGCTGTCACGGGCTGCTTCCTGGGGGTGGAGGCCTGGTCGAAGACCGGGCCGCGGGGACACTAAAGCCCCGAAATCATCTCAAGATAACCTCAAGATAACATCGGTCCTTAAGTATTGGTGTCACCCTGCGCCTTGCCGCCGCCCCTCTCTCCACAGAACACCGGTGTATCTGCGGCTAAGCGTCGGCAGACCAATACGGCAGCCATAGTCTCATCTGTCGTAAGTCACAGGGGAAGATTGCTAGGCGTGAAGCAGTCAATGATGTCATCAAGAAAAGTTTGGTTACAGCCTATAGTATTCAGCACAATGCAGGAACCTCAAATGGGCAGACCTGACAACAGTCACAAGCGCCCAGATGGAGTCTACCTCCAGCCATGGGGATAAAAAGGTTGTGTACTCACCTAACCTAATTGTGCTTGCGGGGGTTGAGCTTTGTCTCTTTGGTCCCGCCTCTCAACTGTCAATTAACTGGTGTACAGATTCCTGAGCCTACTGGGCTCTGTCATATCTACACTTGAAACTGTATGGAGTCAGCCTCCACCACATCATTTCCTAATGCATTCCATTTATTAACTACTCTGACACTGAAAAAAATCTTTCTAACGTCTCTGTGGCTCATCTGGGTACCAAGTTTCCACCTGTGTCCCCTTGTTCGTGTCCCACCCGTGCTGAAGAGTTTGTCTTTGTTCACCCTGTTAATTCCCCCGAGAATTTTGTAGGCAGTTATGTCTTCCCTTACTCTTCTGTTTTCCAGGGATGTGAGGTTCAGCTCCCTTAGCCTTTCCTCGTAGCTCATTCCTCTCAGTTCCGGGATGAGCCTGGTGGTGTGTGGGGCTACTCGTGTGCATCTACAGTACAGTAGAACTGAGGCTGGGGCTGCTACTGTCAGGGAGACCCAGAAAACTAAGAAGTACAGGGGTCTAGAGAACATTGTTGCAAGTTTGTACCAATAGGCTCTGAGACCCTGGATGCCTGGGGTAAGTGTGCACTTAAGTTCCTGATGGAGGTGGGCAAGAAAATAATTAGACAAAACACACACACACACACACACACACACACACACACACACACACACACACACACACACACACACACACACACACACACACCACACACGCACACACGCACACACGCACACACACACACACACACACACACACACACACACACACACACACACACACACACACACACACACACACACACACACACCACACACACACACACACACACACACACACACACGCGCGCACGCACGCGCGGGGCCAGTTTCCTGTTCCAGCACCTCTGTGTCACCATCCAGAGAGGAAATGTTAGCTGTATCTTGGGCAAGCACCCCGCCTCTGCATAGCTGGACGAGGTTTTCGAACAGTAATTCCTGTGTGTTTTCTGTAAACTAGCACAATGACGCCAGTTAAATAATTATTTGTATAAAATAAGAGTAAGGTGTGGTAGGAGCAAATTCCCAAGTGTTCCCAAGAAGAGCAGAGGTGCCATAGGCACAATCAAAGAACACTGTATAAACATCAGAGGTTCGCGGTTGTTCAATACCCTTCCAGCGAGCATAAGAAATTTTGCCGGAACAACCGTGGACATCTTCAAGAGAAAACTAGATCATGTCCCAGCTGTGTCTGGGTACAAGTGACAGGATGAACAACCCAGCGGGTTTTCTTCCTATTGGGGAGTGTTGTACATGCAGCTATGGCGGTATGTCCACTCACAAGATGAGTGGCGCTGCCCAATAAACTCGCCCCTCGGGGCAAAATTAAAAAACAAATTAAATAATTTTCTCCAAGGAGTGCCGGACCAACCGGGCTGTGATGGGTATGTGGGCCTGCGGCCCGCTCCAAGCAACAGCCTGGTGGACCAAACTCTCACAAGTCAAGCCTGACCTCGGGCCGGGCTTGGGGAGTAGAACTACTCCCAGAACCCCATCAACCAGTTATCAAGCAGGACGTTCAGGGAGAATCCGTGTGGTCTTCTCTGAATACCTTTTATTCTCCATAAAGGCCCTGCATGGGTCTCCACAATTGCACACACTAATTCATACAGTTTCAGGAAGGCTAACTGCTGCCTATAAAAGTAGAGGAATGACAGTTATCTGCTATAATCCCTCTGTTGATACCTTCCGTTCCACCTGAAGTATTCATCTCCATAACATAATTCAACAATTGCAAACCACAATAGCATGGTTTAGCACTATCCTGCGTATCAAGTTGTCAATAGTACCCTGTAGCACGTATCACAAGGCTACTAGAGTATACCGACTGATCTTGATAATTACTCTCATCTGCCGGTAGGGGATGCTGGGGAGCAGGAAGAGCGACATCTGGCTTTTCTTTTTTCCGTAAATGACCAGATAGATCTGTACCAATGCTAATGGCAGCCGGGCTAGTGGCACCCGGGCTAGTGGCAGCCGGGCTAGTGACAGCCGGGCTAGTGGCACCCGGGCTAGTGGCACCCGGGCTAGTGGCACCCGGGCTAGTGACACCCGGGCTAGTGACACCCGGGCTAGTGGCACCCGGGCTAGTGGCACCCGGGCTAGTGACAGCCGGGCTAGTGACAGCCGGGCTAGTGACAGCCGGGCTAGTGACAGCCGGGCTAGTGACACCCGGGCTAGTGGCACCCGGGCTAGTGGCACCCGGGCTAGTGGCACCCGGGCTAGTGTGTCCAGCAGATTCACTATTATCAGTCCCATGTGTTCCTGCTATTCCCTCTTCTCTCTCTCGTGGGAGCCTCCACCTGGCAGAATAACACGACTTATCTTCAAGGCCAAGGCCTTGAAGACTGGGACGTGCACAGAGACGTACAAGTGTTTTTCCTCGGTAATTTTTCAATTATTTTATTGCAAATTTCAATGTGGAGTTCCTCGGCAAATATCGAAGAACAGCAACTTGGTACTTCCAGGTCACATATTTCGCCATAACTACGCCGCATGAACAAGCCTACGCTGGCAAAACAGTTGTATCTTTGCTTGCATTGTTTTTTTTTTAAAAGTAATGATTGTAGTTTGCCGTTTTTAATAACAAATTAAAAAAACGGAGCAAATTGACTCTGTATCAATCTAGGCAGTTTAGATTTAGGAAAGACTTGGGTAAATACTGGTTCGGTAACAGGGTTGTTGATTTGAGGAACAAATTACCACGTAACGTGGTGGAGGTGGGGTCCCTCTATTGTTTCAAGCGTGGGTTGGACATGTATATGAGTGGGATTGGGTGGTTATAAATAGGAGCTGCCTCGTATGGGCCAATAGGCCTTCTGCAGTTACTCTTGTTCTTATGTTCCTAGATGGTGCAGAACTAATGAGAATAATCAGAAAAGGACAGCGATATTCTGCCATGTGATCTTCATTCTTCATAAGGTGGTCTAAGAAATGGCTGCCAGACTTTACCCGTGCAAATGTAAATTGTGCCTCTGTTTAACGCAAGAGGAGAATGTGTACTTGAAACACAAAACCGAAACTTCGCGGCTCTATTATTCCAGCTTGTTAAGGACTTGTAATAAAGTTGTCACGTACTAGTGGCTGTACAAGTGTTTATGACGTGTTAGAAAAAAAAAAAAAAATCAGAAAAGGACAGCGATATATTGCCATGTGTTCTTCATTGGTTAGGTGGTCTGAAACTTGGCTGCCAACGTTTACCAACGTGCGTATGTAAAATTTGGTGTGGATAGGGCGGAGAAGACCTGTACAGTATAAGATGAAAACAGATTGTTACATACGAGAAGAAAAACCTGGAAGTCAACATAATCTCTTATCTCCCAAAAGCACCCATTAGTTGAATGACATCAGCAGAATAATAGAAACTGACCAATGTTTGCATTGTCTTTAGAAAAAAAAAGTTCTTCAGGGCCCTTATATACAACGTACGCGAGACCAATTCTAGAGTAAGAAGCATCAGCATACAAAAAACTTAATTTACATTCCTTAAAGAAACGGAGAGTTAAGGGGTGACATGACTGAAGTGTGCAAGTGAATGCATAGACATAACGAAGGGAACATTAATAAGCAACAAAATATCAACAACAAACAAGACTAAAACCAGTGCACTAAAACAGAAGGGAAAAAGAAACAGGGAAAATGGAGGAAACCCCACCTCCATTTAATACTTTGACCCAAATATCAGAGTAACAATTAGTTATCGTGAATAACCGAACTCAATTACGGGCTCACCATAGCCCGTGCTACATGGACATTTCGTTGTGAGTAGCTAAATCTAAAAACAACAATATCAACAACATATTGTTGTTATTAGATTTAGCTACTCACAACGAAATATGTATGTAGCACGGGCTATGGTGAGCCCGTAATTGAGTTAGGTTATTCACGATAACTAATTGTTACTCTGATATTTGGGTCAAAGTATTAAATGGAGGTGGGGTTTCCTCCATTTTCCCTGTTTCTTTTTCCCTTCTGTTTTAGTGCACTGGTTTTAGTCTTGTTTGTTGTTGATATTTTGTTGGTTATTAATGTTCCCTTCGTTATGTCTATGCATT